GGTATAATTCATACCTAGTTCGTGGACATTGAAGTTTATAAAACAAAAATCCGACGACAGCTGCGGCCGACGCTCCTATAATAACCTTTTTACTGGCCATTGATGTGATTTTGGCACTTAATTCAAGTAAATTAGTGGCAGTTCTGCGCAAAACTGAGACAAAATTCTGTGTTACAGACGATTGAGACATTCAAATCAGTGAATCGAGTAAAAAGCAAATGCTTTATAACGATATTTAATTGCCTTTACATTACTTTGAGATCAAATCTATTTTCTGATTCTTGCGTTCAATGAAAGCCTTCTATTGACGACTTTATTATTTAATTTGATAAGCGTTTCAATTAAGAAATACACTTAAAATTATTGATAACACTTATGAGAGAGAGGGTGAGAGAGAAAAACGTTTCAATGATTACCGGAAAATACTTAACAAACGATAGCTTTTGCAACTCTGGCGACAAATACGGTTCAGTATATTATGGTTTGTAATTCTGATGGCAATGATTTTTGGGACGACTTTTTATGTGATACGGTATACTAGTATCGGTTTTATATTTAATTCTGGTTTTAAATATCCGATGCAATCGATTACTTACTCTTTAACGAGAATAGAGAGACACCAAAATGAGATCATTTAATATATTGCTTAACAATATTATGTAACAAAAATGAAGTAAATTGTAATTTAAACAAATCACAGGGCGTTCGGTGCCAACAGAATATGATTCAATGCATTTGTGGTCAGATTCTGCGCCAAAGAATTTGTTTACCAGAATATATACAGTATATACAGAATATATTGTATAAGAGTTTGACATTTGAATTACACTACGGATGCGCTCTGTCGACGCGATTATAATATTCTTAAGTAATATATGATTTCCAATACAATAAATTCAATAAATTGATAGATCAATAATATTCTCAGTTTCATTTATTCAAAACTTATGTATTATAATATAGCAAACATTTCTGTAGGTATCATAAGATAAAATTTTGACAAACAAAATCAATTGATTTGATTTGATTGGGAGTAAAATATACAAAAATAACCCACTCTTCAAGAATAATTGTATTTTACAAACAGTTGAATGCAATTAAAATAAATTAAAATGCAAAACAGATTTACAAAACAAATATTATAAGATATGAGTCAAACAGATATGAACACAGTATTTGTGATGAGAAGATAGTGATTCTTCAGCAGCCGATGCCATCATTCAGCTCTCGATGGCTTATAGTAGTCAAAGAGGTATCCGTTACACGTCTGCGACTTCCGGAACAGACTATTCTCAATGCTATGGAAATCTGAGATCTGACTGAAATCCGACACTTTCTTGAAGCCATAGTTCTCCCTATTGTTCGTCAAATAGGTTTCGCTGGAAATAATCTGATCGAACCATTCATCTGATGCTATGGAACCGCTGTGTCCACCGATCTCTTTGGGAAGTATGTCGGGGGAGACAATGGAATGCAAATCAGACAAATCTGATCCGTGGAATGTGATCTTCTGGCGAAGCTCTTCACTCAGGAATGGCTTCAGTATAGTGAAGGCGATGTCTGCGAGCGTCGACTCATGGATAACGTGAATGGCTTTGAAGCGTATGGGCAGACACTCGTCGATGATGTGGACCATCTTCTTGGCCTGAGAGGGTCCGAAGCGTCGCAACTGCGCCCACCCGAAGTCCTTCATGTCGATGATGCAGATGAGGCCATTGATTTGTGTCACCTCATCCATGGCCGCCTTCTCCAGACTCACAATACTGGCCGCCACTAACTGATCGAAACTGAATTTCCTGGGATTCCATTGGCCGGCGCTCATCACATACACCGTCTCACCCGACAGACACTTCTTCGGCAATACTGTCATCGCTTTGGAGTCGAAGACGCATTTCAATTGCTTCGGCGGTACAAACAGCTCCGGATTATTGGCTTTCAGATAGTAGTACTCTTTGATGAGGTGCAGGGCTTTGTCGTAATCAAACATACGGGCCCTCAAGAAGCGCAGGAGGAATGCGTCATCGCTCTGGGAATTCAGTGATGTCTCGTCTGCAGAGAAAATATATCCAGAATTTGGATCCAAATTTAGAAAACAAGACACAGAATAAGGCAAATGTCATACTCTGTACGATCTCTCTCAAGGCCTGGATATCCCTCTCTTTCCAGTTCTCCTTCTCATTCACTTCCACTTCAGCTCTTCTGATCAATTCAGGCGTTAATTTCGAGATCGAGATATTCTCCGTCAGAATCGATGGTTCGGTGGATTGGCTGTCATTCATATCTGCAAATCTCACTCAACTCTAACGGTGTCTGCGTTTGCGTCAAATTCTGTTGTTTTGCTCGAAATAGAGGCTGAGTTTGAATTGGAGTCAAACCACAAGTGTTACGAATACTTCAAAGCTATTTATTAATTGACTTTTTGCTTTTGAATGACTTTTTAAATTATTTATACATTATTTTACGGTTTATTTAAAGTGAGAATAACTTCACACAAGTATAATACCGTACTCTCTGTGTGCTACACAACAATACATTATGTTATACTAGTATTCTATTGCAATTGATTACACTTTATACATAACACTCATTTACAATTAAATCTCACTTCACACCCATTCTTAAATCAAAGGAAATTTCTATTTATTTAAGTTAAGATAAAAGTTAATATAAATGTATTGGTATTACGGTATGTGATGACTGGATACTGGAATATCTTTCTACAGACTTTCTAACAAATTCTTATGAATCAAAACTTGTTTGACGGCATCTATTGTATAGAATTGTAAAACTAGTCAAACAGGATATCATTGAGTGTTGAGACAATCATATGATATGTTATAATGATTTAATTAATAATTGTGTTAAAACTTGATTTATAAATACAATTACAGACATACAATATATAATTAAAAATAGATTTACAACAAAGATGTGCTCAAAGTCTGAAATACGTCACAAAGTTTGGTCACATTTAGAGGACAATGATATAGCACTGCCTCCAAGACCTGTCTTCGATAGGATTCCTAACTTTAAGGTAGACTTTGTGTGCAAATGTTACAAAACAATTAAATCTTTGCGAACCAAATGTATTAATAGCAGTCAGATATAGCTTGCGATTCAATCGTTAGGCTAAAGGAGTTCACGAATGCAAGAGTTATCAAAATAAATCCGGACCGACCCCAGGGTAGGGCCCGATTCTGTGCACTCCAGGTATGGTATGGGGTCTCCCATCGCATTGAACTCAATGTGCCATTAATTTCAGTGTAATTTAAGTCTAGAAAGAGGCTATTAGTGCCGACACCGCGTCTCAGCGCCGGTCTATTCAATGAAATCAAACCCCAAGACTATAGCGAAGAGACGTTAAGGACGTGCGCCTCGTCTCAAGGCGTCAGACAATTCAGTGCTCCCATTGGCTTGGATTCAAGTGTCAAAATAGATTTAATTCTTGTCGGTTCTGTAGCTGTTTCTAAGCGAGGTATCGATTGCACCGTTAATTTAAAAACAAAGCCAACAATTGTTTGATATATTAAGACACCTATTATTACACGAATAGGCCATCGAATTGGCAAAGGAGAGGGCTATGCGGACCTGGAGTACGCAATGATGGTCAGCACAGGTGTTGTGGATCCGTTGACAACACTAGTGATGACAACAGTACACGACTGTCAGGTCTTTGACAGTCTGTCCGACGATATGTTCGGCGAACACGACCTCACAGTGGATGTGATCGCAACCCCCACTCAACTCATTCGCTGCGAACCAAGACTTCCCAAACCAAAGGGCATTATTTGGTCACTACTGACACGGGAGCGCTTGGAAATGATGCCTATTCTCAAGACATTCAGAGATATGGAGCGACAAAATGGCAAATGTGTTGATTTATTTGATTAGAAATTAATTATTTTTATTTTTACTACTTTTCTAAATAAATTGATCAAAGAATTGGTGAAACTTTTGTCTATTGGATGAATGGGACGGAACTAAATGTCCGCCCGAATGGTAGATAATGAATGGATTGGCAAAGTGTTGCGACAACTGTTCACTTCTGGTTTTATCTATTATTTGATCCGTTTCTCCGATTACGTGAAGTGACGGAATGTCTATGAGCTGACCATTAAGTCTGTCAAAGAGTTCCAAATGTTTTGTCGAAAGGCTTTTAAATCCAGCGATTATTACCACAAACTTAAGATTGTAATTGAATTCTTGAGAAATCGATGAATCAAATCATTAAATTCAATTCATTATCCATTTAATAATAATAATGAATACCATTCAGAGTGTTAAGACAACATAGAAGTGCCACCAAAGCTGATCCCTGACTGAATCCTAATATTCCATCAAATGGTCCCTAAAAATAGAAACATATTTTTAATCAATTTATAAACATTTACCATAATATCCACTAATAATACCTGGGTTTCAATTGTACGTCTTATCATAGATAATGTCTCATCAAATCCTTTACATGTATTTGATTCTTGAGATGAACTAAAATAATCGGGATTTACGTCCGAAAACCACCAACTCTTTGCTATTTTCGTATATAATTCATAAACAGACTAATATAGCAATCAATTGTCAATTTGTGACAAACAATCAGTTCTTACAGTCATCTCCGTCCGGGTTTTGAGCACCAATTGGTACCACATGTGGACCATCGATGAATACTACAGATTATCATCACAAGTGAATTATAAATTAAATAATATACAAGTACAATACTTCCTATAAGTATCATAAGTATCGTAATTGTATCATAATGTACTTTACAAAAAGAAATCTAACAAGGATACAATTGTAAGGATTGTGTCATTCATAATACTATAAGCAATGAAATTCTGCACACAATTCACTCAAACAAATGCAATACAGGTCTAAAGTACAACATATTAACATAATTCATATCTAATTGATATTGAATTAGCATTTAGTGATAGTGTTATAAATAGTCCTCAAATAGCTATCATATATATAATGGTAAAGTACACTACAATAGACTGATTAAGTGTTTGAGTGGATGGACACAAACCAAAGTCCACTTTGTTTTTCAGTAGTTTACGAAATCCTCCACTTTTTGATTTGAATGCATCGCCTGTTTGCCGATAGCCATGAAGACATAAGACCTGTTGCCATGAAATGGACTTTAATGGTGATATGAATTTAAATGACATGAAAATCAACGCTTACTTTAAGTGTTTGTTGCCTTTTGGTTGCAGACATGCTGTGAACATGTGATACATTAGATTACATCACAGATTCACTAAACGTCACAATCATTGAACACTTCAATATGAATATGCAATTCATTGGATACCAGTTTGGGTTGCATTTTGTTGACAAGATTTCCATTACAGGACAGGTATCACATAAACTGATAGGTTTGATAGTAAACAAGATTTACCTGATCATATAAATAAAGGCTCGTATTTATGTTATTCAGTATTACTATTTGTGAGTCCGGTTTCGATACACAGGTGCTATAATTAGGTCGTAAGCTCATAGAGATCTCATAGTATTTTATTTTTGCTGACTAAACAAAAATTGTGGAAAAGTTTTCTTCCTTAACACCCAAAACGAGAAAAATCATTGTTTTTGACATTTAACAAGAAATTGTCCAATAAATGAGTGGCGATTGTAATACATTTGTGAGAATATTCAGCAAAAGTCATGTCAATAGGATTTATCGGCGCCGGGAAAATAGCCCAGGCATTGATGAAGGGCTTAGTGTCAGCCGGTATTATATTCGCGTGTGAATTGCCATTCATTGCTGAGATTTAATTGAAATGTTATCTCAAACGTTAGGCATATCTAAAGCCGACAGAATACTAGCCAGCGCTCCAAAGGCAGACTTCAAGTGCCACCAGGATACTCAGGTATGCCTTTCCCATTGCCTTTCCCATTGCCTTCCCATTCGCATTGCATTATCACTCACTCTAAGCTCACAAGTTTTTAATGTCTTTTTAATTACTTAATGAGACAACAGTTGTTGGGCTGCAGAACCACTTATCATAACAACGATGTGCTCAACAACTCGGAGATTGTGGTCCTCGCCGTCAAACCCCATGTATTTCCTGCACTACTGAATGAAATCGAGGCGAATGTCACGGAAAAGCATTTATTAATATCAATAGCACTCGGAATAGAGATCTCGTGCATTGAGAATGTGAGACAAATTAGCTATAAATTAATTTTAATTTAATGTGAGGTCTGGTCTCCTAATGTAAGGCATTGCCCGCAAGCAGTCGAGTGGTTAGAGTGATGTCGAATACCCCGGTGCTCATCAGGGAAGGAGCTTCGGTCTACTCGTGCGGAACCAACGTTACTAAAGCCGACTCACAAACCGTACGAAAACTGTTTACAAGTGTTGGGATGTGTGAAGAGATTCCGGAGGCGCTCATCGATGCGGTCACTGCTCTGAGCGGTTCGGGACCGGCATATGTATGCAACAGCACCGGTATTGCAGACAATACCCATTCATAACCACTCTATTGTATAATCAAAACAGTTGTACACTTGTATGGAAGCACTGGCCGACGCGGGTGTCCTACAAGGCATACCAAGAGATCTATCCCTAAAACTGGTCGCACAGACAATGATTGGGTATTAATATAAGTTTCTTCCTTTCATTCATAGAGTTTATTAACACTGAAAGGGATATGACTTGAGATATAATGAGAGCATTAGATACTAATTGCTTGAGTTGTTGTCAACACAGATCTGCGCGAATGGTTCTCGAGACTAATAAACATCCGGCAGCTCTAAAGGTCTTGAAAACACTTTTACACCTCTCTCTCTCTCTCTCTCTCTCTCTCTGCCTTTCTTCTTCTTTTTCTTAAAAAATTGTTTTTACGGATAAAAAGTTAAATCTAAAGTGAATTTATGTGTGAATTGAACGGTTATTATAGGACGACGTGTGTTCACCGGCCGGCTGTACGATACACGCTATGTATCACTTGGAAAAGAATGGCTTAAGAGCTCTTCTCATGGAAGCCGTATCGAAAGGTACAGAAGTCGCTCACTGGAAGTCCAAAAATGGCAAACATAGTGGCCCATGATTTGTATGTACAGTACGTGCAGTATAGCCCAGTCCTACGTCAGGCACAGGAACTAAACTAGCATCTGATATCACTAATGATTACCGTATATTCAACTCCAAGTTTTAAGAATTTGTCTAAACATTTAACTTAATATTGATTGTGATAACAGAGTCGACTGTAAATCTCGAAAAATAGACAAAAAGTTTGCAAAT